GCGCGGGAGCCCTGGCTGCAGGGATGGGAACTCATCGGACAGCCCTTTAGTTTCCTTCCACTCGTTTGCCCACCCGCTGACGTGGCAGCAAGAGGCCATAAAAAGTCGGGGAGGTTTCTAAAAAAGGTACAGCTCCTCAGTACTCATCAGAACCGTCCTAGTCAGACCCCACGCATCGACTCGGACAGCAAATGCGCACGCTGACCCCCTGCTAAGTCCCAGGAACGTCGCAGCGAAGCAACACAGCGGTGACAGTGACGGTGACGAGGGAGCCGACGGCAGGCCTCGCGGAGGAACAGAGACAAGGACCACACCCCACTCGGGGCCAGGGGAGGGCACAGCGTGCCTTTTCCATGTCACCTGGTGAGCGGTCTGCACCCCTCTCTGTCCCTCCTTCCCTGACCATGACTTGACGGCAGTGAGTGTCCATTAGGTGTTCTTCCTGTCCCTCACTCTCCATCAAAAGCACGCACCTGGGAATCTAAGAACAGGCCTTGTCTCTTCGCCTCTCCATTCTCTTTGCTGTAATTTCACACAGTGCCACGATCTAAATGACCTTATTTGCACACTGTTTAGTTTTGTTTTTGAAGTAGAGTTGATCTACAATGTTGTGTTAGTTGCAGGGGTACAGCAAAGTGATTCAGATATGTGCGTGTATATATATATTTCTTTTCCAGATTCTTTCCCGTTGTAGGTTATCACAAGGTACTGAATATGGTTCCCTGTGCTCGACAGTATAAACTTGTTTATTTTTCAAATAGCAGTGTGTGTCTATTAACTTCAAACTCCTAATTTACCCCTTCTCGACCCCCTTTCCCCTTAGGTAACTGTAAGTTTGTTGTCTGTCTTCGGTCTATTTCCATTTTGTAAATAAGTTCATCTTTGCCATTTTTTTAAAAATTCCACATGCAAGTGGTACCCTACGGTATTTGCCTTTCTCTGTCTGCCTTACTTCACTTAGTAGGATAATCTCTAGAGCCATCCATGTAGCTGCAAATGGCATTATTTGCAAATACGGGGCATTGCACGAATGTGTGTGTCACCCTTGCACAGGGGCCGTGCTAGTTTTATCTGTATCGTTCCAATTTTAGTGCACGTGGCGCCAAAGCGAGCACCACGTACCATTTATTGACTGTGTTTCTCCTCCAAAAGAAAAGGAAAGTAGGCCTCACGCGGGCTGGGACCCTGGCCTCCTCTGCTCCCCTGTATTCCCCACACCCAGGTCAATCACTGACCAACGATCAATGACGCGTTTGATCAGTCAGTACGTGTGGACTGAATAAATCCCAGCCGGCCCCACCTCCACACAAAGTCCCATCTCCTCTCAGTGACTGACGAAGCTGCTCCAGCGTGCGGGGAGCGTCATCTCAGCATTTATTTCCTTGCATTTATTTGTAAGAGGACCTGTGTGTCCTGAACTCTCGAGTTGGCAGGATTTCAGGTATCAGAGTAAAGCGAAGTGTGGACTTTCCGGCGGGGTGGCGGAGGGTATTCTGAGGTCACATCAACGGTGGTCACCCTTTGATTTGCTGGGATGTCTACTCCAAGAAAAAACAGATTCCTCTATGCTGGCCACAGCCTCCTCCCTCACTCTCTGGCCAAATCCATAAATCCTCTAAAAGTGGGGCCCTGGGTGGGCAGGGCCCCACGAGGGTCGGAGGATGAGGTTAAAACAGAGGCACAGAAAAGAGGAGAAACGTCGTTTCTGCCCCCAGGAGAATGCCTCGGGGGTGTTCTGTGCCCTGGTAGTTACTATCATGTTCCCAATTCATTCATTTTCAGCTAATATTTACATTCAACCTCTGAGAATGGCCCATTTGCTCAAATATAAAACATCTATTTATTTCTGGTTGTTATTTTGCAACCCAACCCCCAAAATAATAAAGTACAGAGTTCTTGAGATTAAAAAAAAAAAGATCCTTTGGGAAATACTGGCAAAAGAAATGCTTTCTTGAATAAGGATATCGCTTTGAACTTTTTGGAATCCCGGGCTTCAGGAATTCATCAAATAAAAACAATTAATAAATAACAGACATAAGAGGGATCAGAAAGTTCATCTGGATCTTATCTGTGATTCACACACACTAGAACAGACTAAAAAGCAAATGACAAAGAGACCTCTGGCAGGTACTGAAAAACAACGTGTAACAATGGATCATTCCCCCCATTTCCAGAAAGACCTCAGACTTCAAAGTTATTACCAAAGAATGTTAATCTGGCTGCATTCCTCACTCACTTCTAATTCAACAAACTTTCTCCTCCACAGCTCTTTGCAAGTTACAGCAGGCAGTACCTACGTGTGTGTCCACCTATGAGAGACCTGGCCATTTCAAAATGTGCCCCAAACTGTCCTTGAGATCTAAGGAGGGAAGAACGTCTCAAAACTCATTCCTTACAATTCATACCGCTGTCAGGTAGTATTTAAAAAAAAAAAGAAGTACAGTAGACACCGTATATTGCCAAGTTCAGGCTAAGTCAAGTGGAGCATTAGAGCATAAACTCTGGCATCACACTGCCCGGGTTCAAATCCCCGCTCTGCTGTTTGAGCAGCTGGGTTGCTTTGAACGAGCTGTTGGACCTGTTTCCTCATCTGCAAAATACGGGGACAGCAGCAGGGCCCACCTCACGTGAGTTAACAGATGTAAACTGATCAGGGCAGCACCTGGGCTACAGCAGCAGCTCAGGCTGAGTTATGACTCTCAGTCCTGAGTTCATACACTCAACAGAATCAAAGAAACGATCATACTTTCTTCCTCCACTGTGAGCAGAAAAAGCATTTTCTCACGACAATTACTTCCTTTACAGTTGTTTTGTTAAAAAGGTGGCTCTGGGCGCTTTCAAGGTGGGGCTTCCTCACTGGGGACCAGACACCTCCTCGCCTCTCCCCAGTGGTGCCACTTCCCCTGAAGCTTGTCACTGGCGTCAAGTACAACCGTCAGTTTCACTTTCACGTTATTCTGTCAGTTTGGCTCAGGAGGAAAAGACACTCAACCAAGTGAAAAAAGCGCCTTCTGGGATCTAGGAGTGACAGCCCCCGTCTTCCCAGGAGCACCTGGGAGCTTCTCTCTGCCCAGATTCCCTCTGGTCCTCTAGGCCGGCAGTCCCCTGTCGAGAAGGTGTGCGGAGGCGTGGGGGTCTGGACTGTTTGGAATCGGGGTGCCCCGCCTTTTAATTTCACGCCCGGGATGCCCTCATGGGGTGCGACTCCCACCTCTGCGTGGACGCGCACAGCTGGGCCTGGGTCGGTCTTGTCTCTGTGCCTTCCTCCCTGCCCAGGACACTGCGCTGTGCTCTAGCTGAGCGCTCCTTCTCGGTCGCCGGGCTGGGCTCCCGTCCTGTGTGTACCTAGTGTGTTCTCTCTCTCTGCGCTTCTGCAGACCTGCGCCCATCACTTTGGGTTCTGTCCCACGGCTCACTCTTCACAGCTCTGACCCTCCTCCTCATCGCACCCGCCTTCTTCCTGTTTGGGGTTTTCTGGTCTTCCCTCCGGGCGCCCGTGCACGCAGACTACACGCTCAGCACAGTTGCTGAGCACTTGCTGTGTGGGGGGCGAGCTCAAGGCTCGACTGCAGAGAAGGAGACTCGACCCTGCCCTCAAGTGTGATGGGGAGAGAGGTGTATTAACACTGCTGAGGTAGCTTCCTGTGCTTGAAGCCAGGGCACTGGGGGAAGGATGTGTTAATACAGCGAGGGGTGCAGAAGCCTTCACAGGGAGGTGATGTCTGAGGGGTCAGCCAAGCGAGGATGCGACAGGCCCACGTGGAGCCGTGCTAACCAAGAGGCAGCTGAAGGGCGACGCGGTGTTCAGGTCCTTGTGAGATGGGAGGCTGGAGGGGCAGGCAGGGGACAGACCAGGAAGGACCTGGCAGGCCACGTGAAGGGTCCGGATTTTATTTTGTGGGGGATGCAGAGCAAGGCGGAGAACGGGGATCAGATTTTTGTTTCCAACAGATCCTTCTCGCAGCAGAGTGAAGAGTGAGACTAAAGGTTCCGTCTCAGAAAATAAATGTGGGGTCACCTTTATGAAATGTCATCATTTAACAGCCTACATGTTTGTGCTCGACTGTTTTCCAAAGACGGCTGCCCGAGCATCTCCCGTTGCAAAGCTCTTCTGGGACGTCCCTCGGCCACGCCCCACACAGGGGGCAGCCGGGGCCCCGCCCTGTGACCCTGGCTGGCCTGGGACTTGCTTTGACCAGTAGAACCCGACAGAAGTGATGCTCTGTGAATTCTTAGTTTGGCCCTTCAGGTGTCTGAGCTTTGGCCAGTGTGTGCTGGGAACGCTCACTCTTAGCATCCGATTACCATGAGAGGAAACCCGAGGCAGCCGCATACAGAGAAGGAGAAGGCGTGGGCTGGGCTCAGCCTTCTGGCCGTCGCCACCAACCACAGATCTGAGCGGTCCCATCTCAGGTCTGTCCATGGCCTCATGAGAGGCCCCAGGTGAAGCCCCGAGGAGCAGGGCCGGCCCAAATCCCCCATCCGCAGAATCGTGAGCAAATAAAATGGTGTTGTTTCAAGCCACTAAGTTTTGGGGAAAGTTGGTTACACGGCGATGAACAGCCAAAGCAATACTCCAGGTGGAGTGCATGGTACCTGCAGCCCTGGCCGCTTCAGGACAAGAGCACTGGCCCACGGCCAGCACGAGGGAAGCGGTGCTTCCCTGAATCACTTATGCCCAAATCTTACTTCAAGCCTGTGTCACACCTAACTGATTAGTGCTCAGGCTCCTTAAAAACCGATTCTTAGAAAAGGTAATCCTCTGATTCCACCTCGCAAAGAGCCAAGAAAACACCGTGCGTGGATTAAAATTCCCTGGAATTCAGTCTGAACATTCCTATTGGCAGTTTTTTTTTTAGACAAACATCCAAGTCAGTATGTGTCCCACTTCTTGGACCCGCAGAACGTTTGATGACTCTTTATAATTTGTCTTCTTAGCTGTATTGCTATGTGTCTCGAGAGAGACCAGGACTTGAATAAACGGTGTCCTCTCTCTGGGTCTAGAGATTTAGACCCGGAGGCCTAGACTGTTTTTCCACAAGAAAATATTTACAATATTTGCCCAGGAGAAAACTGATTTCATATATTTAAATGACGATATGTTCTCTCTGTTTTGAAAACCTCTAATCTGTTCCTGGAAGAGGAGCGCTCGCCCTTCTTCCTTTCATTTCTACTGAAATCATAAAATTCAAACCCGATGTTACGTGTTGGCATGTCTCTACCGGCTCCACCGATGGGAAACGGTTAACGGGTAGGTTTGTCTTCATTAATTCCTAAGATTATGTGCTAATTTATGTTTAGCAATATTGGCAATTTTGGGGTCAAGTAAACTCGCATCTATTTTATCTTAATAAGTAACACAAAGTCTTTCCTACAGCTCAGATGGCTTTATCTCCTAAAGCACTTTTAGTCACAGACCAAAGGGTACTAGAAATATTAACAAATCTCAATGAAAAGAACCCGAGTGGTAGAAATCCTTCTTTTTGCTGAGACGGAGGAAGGAAGGTTAAACTACCTTGTGCTGCACCTTTGGCAAAATTTAAGCTGCCTCTGCTTCAGAACCTGGCATTATGCAAGTTATTTCTCACTGAATTATTTCAGCATTAAAAGGATTTTTATAAAACCCTCCAGGATTGGCTTGGTTGCACGAAAGAGGCAGAGTAAATTCCAGTTCCTCTTATGAAAGAGTTTATTTATGGCCACTGTTAATACCAACCCATCTGTACAGCCTAAATATGTCCTAAAGTACATGCTAATTGATTTTTCTTTTCAAATGACTGATGCAGAAGAATTAAAAGAGCCCCCATTCCTAGAGGGGAGAAGACTGTCTGGCTGCTATTCCTCACCATCTTATCTTCCAGACACGAAGCCCACTGGGGAGGTCAAGTTGTTCACTTTGGAGAACCAGCGTTTTTGAGAAAGCCTGGTCATTACCTTTCTTGTGCTACCATCATCCTTAACACAGTAGAAGAAGAAGAAAAAAATGTGCTGTTGATGTCATCCTATGAAATTTTATTTGCAAAATCTAAACTGAATATCGTTGAATGCTTTCAGTGTTTGGGCGACTGCACACCCGTTTACCGGGGAAGGGTTACACATCCCACTCCTGGTAATA